ATGAACATTGTGTTCGTCAGGGTGGTTTTGGATGTCCCATCATTTATGGTGCTATGACTTAGACTGGCGCTATGCAGTGGGATGTTGAGACTCAGTGTTGGTGGGTAAGTGGGACAGGTGTGACGAACAGTGCATTGCACTGTCACAGTTTGTCCAACCTTCATGTTTACAAAGATCGAAATATACGGTGCCTAAGCCCTATCTTTACAAAGGAAATGTGAAGAATTATTGATGTTAATGAATACACATCGATCTTGAAGTGTATCTTTTTCTCAGCTCACCATGAGAACTTACCTAGTACTTCAATTGTTACAGTTGTGTCGTAGAATGCATGGGTGTATTTCCCAATATTCTCTGGATCTACCCAGGGGTAAATCCTCTGTCTGTGGTGAAACGATTCCACTGGGTAGATTTCAAGACTGCATTTCTTCTCATAACTAGATGTCAACGCTTGTGTTCTTCCTTTAAATATGGCAATGACATCATTTGGGTACCAGCTGTCACAAACTAGAGGATATCCGTGGTTCACATACTGGTACCAAACAACACGATCTGGTCTTTGAGGTGGATTGTTATAGTAGTCAAAGGTGCAAGGGATGACAAGGCAGGAACCCGCCAATCCTTGGATGTTGCTTGGCATCTTTACTTGCCAAGCCCTGGAACTGCAGAAAATGTATCCTGCAAGAGCACCAGTGTGCATTAAGAAAATTAAAAATGTAAAAAATGTAAAATGTAAAAACTGAATAGAAGAAAAATGCATTACCTAGAATACAGAAGCTCAGGAGAAAATGGCTGAATCTAGACATCTTGTAAAGGATTCCACAAACCTAGAATGCATATAATGAACACGGTGGTATTATGCACTGAAAAATAAAAATGAAATGAAAACAGAATATGTCTGTTATTCTTACCATATTGCCTATATGCTTCCACGTAAAAAAAATGAGATTTATCATATGCCTTCATTACTAAAGGGATACTCAGGCTATTCAACACTTAATTTCCCTGAAGTCTGAGGGACTCAGAATGGCAGATGCACAGACTCGCTTAAGAAAAATTGACATCACAGAAGAGGCCAACCAAGACTTACCTGTCTTGAATGATCAAAGCTTGAGACAGCCAAATTTCAGGTGTACAGAGTATAAATGTCTGCACATGTATTTGGGTGGAGTTTCACTTTACCAACCTCAACCTGTCTACCAACTTACTGACTGTTCAACCACAACAGGTGTTTAGAAAACAAAAATGACACAACAACACGAAACAAGGGAGGAGGGTGCACCTGCATGTCACAGCCTGTTGGCACATAAAGAGCCCTCTTGTCATGTTCACATTCACTGATAAATAGTACTAACACAATAGCACCATGTGCATGTATCGAAAAGGAAAAAAAAAATCACATTCAATTTTTTATGTATTTATTTTTTAAAATCAAAGAGAGAAACCTAATTTATAATCATATAAAATACTGTCAAAAATAAGCAGCAATGCCAAAAGAGTTGAAGATAAAGCATACGTAAAAACATACAGATTACTTGATGCATAACTTTTTTTTTTTTTTAAGAAAATCACAAAATCACAATCACAAAAGGGCTCTGGATAAAAATAAAAACCTAAAAACTATTTAAACCAAGCAACATTTATATTGTTTCTCGAACAAGAAAGAAAATTGGTCAATGGTCTGAGAATATTCCTTGTTTCTATAGCACTTAATGTTTTGAATATTCTAAAATTAGGCCAGTCAGTGTTCACTTTAGAGCAATATGGCGTAAAACAAAAAGCAGAACAAGGTAGATTTTACCTTCAAGAAAAACGTTCTTGATTCCAGGAAACTCATAATGGTAACAAGTTAAATCATCCCAGCCTCAAGAAATATTATTTTGTGTTGTCATATTGTGGGTTTTCCCCCCGACATGCATAATGTCAGGCATCAGAATTTATTTGATTGGAAATTGTGTAACAGAGACAGATATTTTAGCAACATGCAGTAATTGTTTCTTTTACTTAAATACTGTCTAAACTGTCTCAGGTTTCTAATAAAAAAAAGTTTGTGCTAGTTTCTGTCAGCACCTACATTTTGAGAAAGAATACTTTTTAGCATTTCACCATATAAACTTATACAACTTAATTTGCAAAATGCAGGGGAAACAAAGATAGCCTCTTTAATATACAATATCTTAGAGATCAGAATGACTTACACCCAGAGTTGATTGTCTATGAAGAGTTTTACCATCTTTTAAAGTGTCTCGCAACCCATCGTTTCAAAAGAACTCCCCCTCAATTGTGGGCGGAGGGTACAATTTGCCTACCACAAAGAAGGCAAAGCTGCTTCCTGTGAGTAGTGTTGACCAACCCACATGATTCTAAAAACACTTAAAATGTACACCAAAATCAACAGACCTTATCAAATTGGGTTCATACATATTACTCATACATACTTATATGTATATATAGCCTATTGAAAAACCTGTATGACCTGTAGATGCAGGAAAATAATTTCCCCTTGTATGTAGGTAGATCTTTGTAGTGCATTACACACAGATATTCTCAATTATAAAGCAATATAATTTTTTCTCTTATCTATTTTTGTTTATGACTGTGAGATATTAAATACACCAGCCCTGTATAAGTGTATGTATGTGCATATGCATTAAAATCATTTAAAGAAATTGTTTGACATTTTGGGAAATACAGTCATTTTCTCTTTTACCATGAAAAGATCAACACCACTCTCATGTCTGTTAAGTAAATAGAGTGCGGATGAACACCACTTTTATTTCTTTTGAAGCATAAATGCAATCGCCACAAGTAAACAGCTAACATTTGGCTATAAATGAACTGAACAACGGTCACATGACTTAACGTTGCCACCACAACGAGACTGTAAAGCCGTGTTTAGCTTGACGACATTCTGTAGTCTCATTTAGCCACTTGTTAGCAACTACCTTTTATAAGACACATAAAAGTTTCAAAATTCATTAAAGTCTCTTAAGCTTGTGCTAACCACAGACCTTATTTAAAGCATCTAACTAAAAACCCATTAAAAATCCACCGACTTTGACACGAGGGAACTGGGAGTGCAAAAATGCTAACTCATTTCCAGGTTTTAGGACTCATTCCTGGAGCTCTCCATATAGAACTAGTACTAGCAGATGGTTAGCTTAGCATAAAGTCTGGAAATGTAGAGGAACAGGTAACAAAATCTGCCTCTCTGCACACCTAAAGCTTGCAAACTAACATGTCATTTATTGAGGCGCTGGTAGGAGGTTTTAGTTACCTTTGGACACAGCCAGTTTAGCTGTTTCCAGTATAGGCTATGATAAGCTAAGCTAAGCTGCTGGATGTAGGCTACCTTTACAGTATTACTGTATATTTAACTGTGAGTGTGGTGTTGATCTTCTAATGTAGCCTGAAGGACTTTGCACACTGAGTCCGTTTTTTTTCCTCTGAATTGTCACGCAATTGTGACACGTTCCGCCAATCATGTTTGCACAGTGAGTCCAAAACTACCTTTTCCACATCCGTCAGAAGCGTTTAGAGATGTTTGACCAAGAATTAGTGAAGAAAATGTAGCGGTGGGACACAGCCGTGAGAAGACAGACAAACAAGGCGCACAGAATCATTTCAATAACTCAGATAGCTCACTTTCAACAGGTCAGATAGTATTATTCAGGTGGACGATGATGATGATAAGGAGGAGGATGTGGACTGCAAACAGAATGTGGAGGACAGGGAGGGAGGACGGCTCCGGCCCTTCATTCAGCTGCGGAGCCAAATGAAAGACAGGGAGGGACTGGTGACAGCCAGATAGGTGACTTAAGTGGAGAGAGATGAAGGAGCAAATGTGTCTTTTCATTTTGTCACTTGTTGCATATTTTCGTAACAAATAGAGCAATAAAACGCATCAGAATCAGTGTGCGTGGTTTCTGTGCGTAAATTTTTTTTATCGGATGATAGAAAAAAACAGACTCAGTGTGCAAAGGCCTTCTGTCTCAGCAGAATAGTGAATAAGTGTATTTCCCAGAATGTCAATCGTTTCCAATAAATTCTTATCCTATCTTGTTCTCTACACTTATTGCTTTTGATGTTTATTTACCGCAGCTGTACATAACAATCAGAGCATTAATAGGTTATAGCAGCAAACACCTATTTGCTATGTTAAGATAAAGTTGAGTAATGGCGTCCTAAACAGAGAATGAAGTCATGCTCCCTATGTGTGTGTTTAAATTTGAGCTTTTCTGTTCTTTGTTATGGTACGGTCTGACTGTGCATGCATGCTAGTGCATGTGAGTCTTGTGTGTGTATACCACTGGCAAGCTAATCTTTGCTGCTCTGCACTGTGCCCATACGGCAGTTACTGCTGATAACAAGTCCCGACCCACGGTGGCGTGACAGCATTGTCATGAAGGTGAGCTCTGTGTTATGTACTATGTTAGCACAGTTGCTATTGGTAGCACTATCAGGACCATTAGCTTCTAGCCGTCGGCTCAGCCACCTCCATATTGAGAGCTGTGTGCAGGCAATCCCGGCTTAGGCTCTGAATCATAGATATTCTCTGAATGTCAAGTACATGGTCTTAGTCCTTCCTATTTATCTTAGCCTGTCCTACTACTCTTCTGTTTGTTCTATTTTATTGTTTCTTCTTCGTAACCCACCTTTTATGTCTGTTTTACTTCATTACTTTTACTCTTTTACTCCTAATATCTCCAGTTTTACTCTCTTTATTCTATAGTACTCCTTTTCCTTTTATATATTTTTATATTTTTACTCTACCCTTTTATGTATTTTTAAATCTTAATTTTACTTCTGGTGTTTCCTCATTGCAGACTTTTGAAGAGTTATGATGGCGTTCCTGAGTTCCCTGAGTTCCTATTTTATATGACTTCCAATGCTTAATGCTTTTTTTGTTTGTTCTGAATATGTGAAGCACTTTGTGTTACATTGCGATGTATGAAAAGTGCTATACAGATAAAGTTTGATTGATTGATTGATACAGCTCCTTTAATTTAATCTCACTGTGGCATTTTAATTTTTGTTTAAGGTCAAACAAAAGTAACATCATTCCTAAACAAACAAACACAATTGCTGGATAAAGTTACATACTTACTGCTATGCAGACGTCATTACAATGGCAGACATTTAATAATAAATTTCATGAACAATATATACACACAGAATGCATTCTACTTTCCCTAAATAATATGATCAAATTATCAAAGACAGAATTGAAGCAGCAGTGTGTAAAATTTAGGGGGATTTAGTGGCAGAGTGGTGACGATTGCAGATCACAAGATGTTCTCTAGTATTTATTGATTTGTTTTTACCTGCAAGTTTCACATAAAAAGAATATGGTTTTTTTGGCTGTCACAGAGGAACTGCTAACTACGGTGGCTGAAACGATAGCTTGAATTGCCCCATCTAGGGCCAATGTTTGGTTTGTCCCTCTTTGGCTACTGTAAACACATGGCGGTGCAACTTGGTAAACTCTGTGGACAAGGACCCGCTCCCTATTTAGATATAAACGAGTCATTCTAAGGCAGCGAAAACAGTTATTTTACACTCAAGAAAACATAGTTTTTATATTAGATAACATTTCTGCCAATCCTCTGAAATCTCACACACTGGACCTTTAAACACATAGAGGAGATGACTACAGTATCCACGTAGCCTATAACAAAACTGCAGTGATAAGATGTGCTAGAGATATGATCCTTATAAGCATGAGTAGATTTGTTTTTTTGTGGGGTTATTTCAGATGTTTCCGTAGACATTGAGGTCTGCGGTGTTCATGTAGTCGTCACCGTCATCAAGATCCTGTGAGAGATTGAGATCATAGTTGTCACAGATGTTGATAGCGACACTTTGCTAAATGTAATTTGTGGAAATAAATCATTGGCAATTTAATAGTACCTCTTGGTAATTGCAGGATTTCGGCTGACTGAGGCCCATCAATAAGAACAGCAACAACAAGAAGACAAAGATAAAGAATGACATTAGACATTGCTGTATTACAATGAATGACAGCTATATTTAACCAACTGTTCAGGTTCAAGAGGGGTAAGCCAAGTACCTTTTGGGGGACGGGAAACGAGGCTTGTTGAACTTCTGGTCGGCACAGGATTTTGAATTCACATTTTTGGACCTGTCAATTAAAATTCAAGTCACAACTCAGATCAGAAACCAACAATTAGCTACTTAATTTTCTTATGTTTAACACACTTACATAGGACCCAAATCCACTGCTTCCCCTTTAGGCCTTCTGTTATAGAAAAAAAAAGTACATAATCTATTTAAATTATTAACAAGGCTGAGTTTGATTTTAGCTGTGAAAACCAAAGCGCGTTTAAACTGTGAAAACAACCAAGTGTTTAAATAAACTTGTGAAACTTATCAGCGTAGGCAGGCATGCTACTGTCAATGCTCTTCATGTCTTACCTTGAAAATCTGCTCCAAACAGACCTTCTGCATAAAAAAAGAAGAACAGAAACTATGCAAATGTTGTTGGGCATAAAAATAAAAGCATACATCTTATCAAGAATGCCAAAAAGCACCAAACTTTTGCACAGACATGGAAATTACATTGAGGCCACCGACTCAGTGGTCTATACAAAGCTGCAGGGAGAATACAGAACCTGTCATTAATATCACAGAGCATTTAAAGAGGTAATGACCTTTGATCGGAACGAGATGGTCCTGGGCTGTCGGAGCGCATCCTGAAAATGTCATAGATTTAATTACACATCAGTACAAATAAGTTTCCAGTGAAAACAGTTTGGGATGAGACAGAAGAAAGAATATTAGTTTTCACACCTGCGAGACAGCCTGGACAGCCGGTTCCACATGCTAAATATAACACATGATAATGAAGACAAAAATGATTAAAAACATGTGATACTGGTGAAGCTCTATGAGCTAAATCTGTCTTTTAATATTTTTACCTGCCATCCCCATGCTGGAGCTCTTGGATGCGTTTCCTTGGGCAGACAGAAACAATGTCATTTGACTGAGGAGCACGTACTGTACGCAGATGTGTTAAACACAGGGACATATGCAAGAGTTTTTACCTATCTGATGTGTTCTGTCAAATACTTAATGTCAGTGGACTGCATGACTCACTTGTATTTCTTCGCCATGAGAATGCAGAAGACTGCAAAGATCACAGCTGTGCCAATCGCCACCACTGTGGGAATGATGATGTGGTTGTAGTTTTCTGTACCTGCAAACAGACGGAGCCACATATAAGGGACATTCTTCCTTTTATATTACACATAATGGGAAGGGGACATATTAAGAACATCCTCAAAATTCAGCAACAAAGTGAAAATGATCTCACGTTTCACATAGAGTGTCAGTGTTGTAAAGGACGTCTTCCCTCCATTAAATTGTGCAATGCAATTGATCTCAGTGTGGTCGTCCTTCTCCTTGGGAATGATGGTCAGGATGGACTGTGCCTCCCAGTTGCCAGGGTGAGTTTCTTTGTGGACCTCAGTTGCGTCATTGGCAGTGCCTCTATTCCATGTGAGTTTAGGCACATGGGAGGGGCAGGTATGGGTGACCGAGCAGGTGACAGTGTAGGGATGTCCTTCAATGGCTGTCTTTGGGTGAGTCAGGGCAGGCTTTAGAGGATCAGCTGTAATTGTGAAACGGCAGAGATAAATTAAGAAGCAATTCAAGAAGACAGGTATAGATTTATGACATTTTGGAAAGTTGATGACATACGGAGCATTCTGAACTCGACACAATCCTCCACAAAGGAGAACTTGTCGGGGGTTTTTGTATCAGTCTCCTTCTCTGCTAGTTCTATCCGGAAGCAGAAAGGGCCATTGTCATGATCTTTAACGTCCATCATTTCTAAGGTGCAGTTGCTCTGACCCAGATGTCCCAACAACCGTGTGCGGCCCCTGAAGTTTTCCAAAACCTGCGTTTGATCCTCGTAATAGATGCGTTCATTTCGATCATTTGAACGATGCCAGATCCCTCTGAGTCTGGAGGTGGGCAGGTTTCCTTTAGGATGGGTGAATGAACACGGCACCACAACGCAGGAACTGACCAGAGTGTCAAGACTTTTTACAACATTCGCCTTCCATTCTTCAGCGAACACAGGACTGCTGAGAGCTGAAAGAAAGTGATGGAAGTGACAAAGAATGAAATGACTTCTTTGTTCAAATGGAGTGTATAAAGGAATGAGATCGGAAGCAAAGAGGTGACAATTACCTGCTAAAAGCAAACAGATCATCATCATCTTGCCGTCTTTTTGCATATCTCTCTGAGGTTTTGGTGGAGTGATACACTATGGGATGTTAAAACGAAAAGAACTTACATTAAAAATAAAATCAAAAGCACTACCTACTCCCACTGCATGCAAATGATAGCACAGCTGAGTGGAACTTCTTCAAATGACACTAATCTTCACGTGCAAGAGACAATTATTGGTCCAGTAAATACTAGCACATTTAATGTCTTTATACAGGATATACACATCTGAAAAAGCACTCAGGAAAGGCAAAAGTAGTTCCTTTCATATATGAATTGCTGGCACTCTTTTCCATTCAATCCCTTGATTTTTTTTGTTTTGTGTTAGACAAAGTCGCACACCCTCAGACAAAAGAAAATCCTGTGGTTGTTTTGTATCAAATCAAGTCACCCAGAATTGCTAAACTGCATTAATCCTGAGCTCATCAGTGTATTAGAAACTCTCAAAATTACATATCAAAGCAAATGCAGTAAACCCACCCCCGTAGAGTTCTTACCTCTGGCCGACCAGAGCCGTCCGTTTCTTCTAAAAACACCTTGTGAATGATGACATGTGGTGTGCTATTCTGCAGTTCAGTTGACAAAGATAAACGCTCTAGGGGCAACAGAGGAAACTGCAGGCCACGTTAGAAAAGAAAAGTCTTTGTTTCTTTTTTTTGTGGGGAAGATGAAAGCAGATGTAGCAGAGGCAGTAGCAGTGGAGTTAATGGTGTAGAACACAGGGGGTGGTGTCTTTGTACAGTGGCAGTAAGCTAAAACTGACGTCCTCATTTCAGCCACAGACCCAGATGGCTGCATCTGTACGTGTGTTTTATAACTTCATTGTCGTTGATATGGGAATTGTTGCATTAAAATGCTCATTGCTTGTGTGTCTAGCTGCCAGAGCATAATAAAGTATAACTTAAGAGTGACCTTTGTAAAAACTGTAATGATATCATGTAAGGATAAAAGCCTGGAGAAATATGAGGTTTCTCCTTGTGCATCTGTGAGAATTTAGTCTTGCATAGACAGACCTATCTCCAAACTTTGTTTTGGCACTGTGCAACTTCTGGAAAAAGGGCTACACCTGTCACAGGTCAGCACTGAGGGAAAAAAAAGGCTCTGGGTTGTCTGTATTTCTTTAAACCAATCACAGTCATCTTGGGCAGCGCTGAGCCCAGGATGCAGCAACAGCACCCTTGCAACTAAGTGTCAAAGACAGTGGGTGGGGAGGAGAATTCTGTCCAAATAAGGCGACCAATGGCAGGCTTCTATGCACAGTCTACATCCATCTATATCTTGTACTTCACTTGAGTTTTTCCAATTTATGCAACTGTCTACTTCTACTGCACTTCATCACAGAGGCAAACTTTCAACATGATTGATTCATTGCAGTAGATCTAAGTTTAAACTACACGACAGTACAATTTACTCAAGCTTAACATCTACAGCAGTAAAATGCAACGTACACATTAATGTAGCAGCAATCTTGGATCCATCTGCTATAGTCTGACAACAATGAAAACTCTGGGGGCTAATGGGTAATATTTCAGGAGATTCAGTGTAGCCAATGGATAACCGGGCCAAGACTTCCTCTTCTGTCAGCAGCTCTTTGTTTACAGCTGGAGTTAGAAACTTGAGACAGATAGAGATAACAATCTGTTATATCTCTTTAAACAGATACCTGGATATAAATCGTATTTAGACAATAGCTACACATTAGAACAGGCTAACGAGTGTCCCCAGGTTAACATCAACCCTGAGCAGACTGAGGGCTTGTAATGGTACTGTGATGATTGACCTATGGCTAAACCCCGCCCCCAAACGCAATGAGCCAATCACAGTGTGTATAGCCATTCCTATACACTCGGACATTCCTGCCTGGATGTTCATTGAAATGCATTACAGAAAGTCAGTTTTGTCCAGTTTTATGAGCTTTTTCTGAGATTTGAAGTTTAAAAATGGTCAAACGGTGTGCATGGGGTACATGCAACTCTGACACAAGGTATCCTGAGAGGCTGGGCGACGAGGTGTATTTTATACACTTTAAACCACATCTCAACAGAGAAAAGTGTCTCCTTTGGATAAAGTGGTGCGTTAGACCACAACATCAGCTCAACGTGAATAAGATTAACAATGATGTCTACATCTGTTCTAAGGTAAGTCAACATTGTGTTTGAGGCAACATATTGTCACTTTGCTGGAAAGAAATATAAAGTTATCTTTAACTTAGCTTCATTAACTTATCTGTAATTGCAGAGATAACAAAGGTTGGCAAACGTTATGCTGAATGATTCAATGTAAATACTGTAGTACCAAATTAACAGAGAGACACTCTCGTTTACACTTGGACCTGTAAATTTTGGCTTGTAATTTAAGCTTTTCATTGACCTTTGCAACAATAAAATGATGAATATATCCCTCCAATGCGTAGTTTAGGCCCTTTTGGTTACTTCTCAATGACATCTGATCGTTATGTCCCCAAAAATCATCAGTTGCCTCCTGTGAAATGCCGTGTACTGTGACACCTGCCATAGCGCCGCTCACTGAATGATGATAGCTTGTCTGAGTGAGTGGAGGGGGCGTGGCTTAGCCATAGGTCAATTTTGGCACTCTCTAAAGTTGTATAATTTGAGCAAATGTGAGCAGCATTTTCAGAGTCATGTTACTGTCAGGAAGATGTATTTCTGGATCATACGTAAGAGTATGTGGGACATATTTATCTAAATCCTGCCAAGCTCCGCTGAATTTCTCTGAAAGAAGGACTCAGTCCTCAGTGAGGATCCTTGACATTGGAACAGTCCTTCAGCGGGGTTCGATGACATAGTGTCCTTCAAATTCGGCTGTGTGAGGATCCTTCCTTGACTTTGAGAAGCACCCTCTGTGTATTTGGCATGGACATGGTCCTCCTGATTCTCCAGGTTCCCAGTTTTCCTCATCGCACACACCTGCTTGCAACTGGCTCATCAGCGCCCTCTGCTTATTCACCTGCCATCAAGCAGTTCATCAATATTTGAGTTTTCATTGGTGGAAATTTAAAGGCGCTGTATGTAAGAATGTGGCCAAAATGGTTACTGCACTCAAATTCAAAATACTGCCGCGAATCATGTCCGCCACCCGTCTCCTACAGATTTGAGGTTGCTGGACAGCGGCACGCTGGAGACTGATTTGTTTGCCCACGGGCGGCTGCCGTGGCAGGGCTGCGTCGCCGCATCCTTGATCTTCGGTTTTCCAGCGGACCGTTCAAGCAAGTCCGGCTTCTTTGCTGCTAACGCTGCTCCCGGGATACAGCTGAGGAGAAGCCAGCTGCTCATGCTCTTATACAGTCTATGCTCATGCTATGTACCGGGACACTGCTAATGCTGCTTGCCGTGCTGCTGTAGCTCAGTCGTAACTGTAGCTGATGCTGAGACTCTACTGACTGCGTGACTGGTAGACGGTGAAAACTAAATTTAATATCACACAAAAGGAGTAATTCTTCCATGCAAACATAGAGGAGGTTGCCGTGACAAACAGAAAAGCTTAGGGATGTCATGATCCTGGGTTTTTGATTATATTTTGTCATCTTATGGACTTTGTTTTGTCTGTTTGTGCTCTTCCTTGTTTTATGTTATTCATTTGTGTTTAAGCTCTTTTGTGTTTTATTTTGTAGATTCTCTGCATGTGTTCTGTCTGGTTTTACCTCCTGTCTTTGTGTGTTTTCCCACCTGTTTTCTGTCACACCTGTCTTCCACCAGTATCGTCAGTCCCTCCCTCTTCCGAGAATCTTCTCTTCACATCTGTCCTGTATTAGACAAGTTTGCTACCCTCGTGTTCCCCTCCACACCTCTGTTGCACAGAATAAGGAACAGAGAGTAGATGAACATGTTTCTGTACATTTAAAAAAAACTATGAAATGTCAATTCTTCTCTGAATATGCTTAGCACTTCAAGTGATAAGGCACTTACTAAAAATGAATGGGGAGGGGAGGGGGGCTGAATCACCCGTTACATTAAGAAAGAAAAAGCCCTCCCAATAATTAGTAATGTTTTCTTTGAAGCTTCTCTTTGATTTAAGATAAACAATGGGGTGTGGTTACTGAGCGTATAAAGAGGCAATATTAATGTAAGACACAAAATCTTTTAGTTGCTATGCGTCACTACCTCTTGAAATTCAAGTCCGCGCAAGTCTCTGACAGACACAATAGCCTGATAATTCTACAGAGATTATTAGGGTAAAAAGAAAATGATGTGCATTGTGTGCAAAATGTTGACGGGATGGGAAAAAAAGTCAACGGGAGCGGGCGAGACTGGGAATCATATTAGGCCTGTCGCGATATGCGAGTCGGTTTTGCATGGTAAATTAAAAGGGAGTAATTGCCATATTCATGCGTGTTTGTTTTCCTCGTCTCTCTCCACCAAAGAGACTGGACGACAAGAGCGTTCACTGCCGTGCATCGTCTGGCAGCCAGGTGAGTTGGTTCATTAGCGTAATGAACGGAGGGAAAACTCTTGTCATCGAGTGTCTTTGTCTCTGTGGGGGAGGCGGGGCTATGGGCTACCCACACACACACACACACACACACACACACACACACACAGTGCGGTCTTGTGAGGGGGAGACGAGGAAGAAGAAGAAAACAGAGAGTTGAGCGTAAGAGAAAGACAGGGAACTTGTTCCTAAACCAAACACCACGGCCCCTGTGTGGGAGTGTTTTGGATTTAAACCAAATGACAGAGGGCAGCCCAGTAATTTGGATGAGCCGGTGTTCTGGGTTTGTTCTAAAACCATCTCAACAAAAAGAGCGAATACGACCAACTTCACTGCACACCTGCTACAACAGTATATGCTGCTCTAACAATAATCTAATGATGCCATATATAATAATATCAGTCAGAGGAACCAAACACTACTTCCACTGCAATATTTTAACTACATTTTCTCTCTCAGAACTGGTTCTTATGACGTGTTGTCTGACCACATCAGAAATCAAATGTGTTTATCATTCTGAACAGCGTCAAGGTGGAGTGAATGTTAAAATAATTAGGCAATAAACATCAAAACACAACATTAGATGTCATATTTGGGTTTATATTCAACTAAGGTAGGCATGTGATCCATGTACTATA